TTTGTTATTTTAAAAAGAAAATCCTTGGTAAACACATTTATTTCCTTGTATTATTTATTCTTATAATTATTACAAAAGAATTACAAAATTTAAGTGTCAAAAATAAGACAAATAAACGTATTTTATAATTTATTACCTTGAAATAGATGGGCTGAAATACAAAGCCTAGAAAATATTTTTAATATTTATAATTATCTGTTAATTTTTTATCATGTGCAAATACAAAAACGCATATGTATTAAAATTATAAAGGAGATATTCCAAAAAAGGAGATGTCTCATTATTTTTAGCATTTCTTTTTAACTTATTCAGCTATGATAAAAATATAAAAAAGAATTAAAACAAAAAAAAATAAATGTATTTCTCGATGGATTTTCGTGTTAGTTTTCTAGATTGCAGACAAATGTCAAGACGGAATCTGTTACAGTAATAATGAAGAATGATACATACATGTATGTTTTATGTATAATGTGTACACATGGGAAAATATATTTTGCAGTAACGTGTCGTAGCGAAGACATTTATGCATTTTTCATGACATGAATGCAACTGATTGAGGATGGCGTTTCCTCGCTTTTATGTTAAAAGCGTAGGATCGTCAATTATCGTTTCTTCATTTAATAAAAGCATGACTTTGATATATTTCTCAATTACGTATTTATTAAGCGCGTTAGCTTTTAAATCGAAAATGAATAAAACACTAGGCATCCTATGAGTCTGTTTAAATTAATTCGACATTTATCGTTATTATATGTATAGTCACAAACGTTTCCTTTTTTAATTATATTTTTCTGTGAATATATAATACATTTAAATCTTTTATTATAAACGACTTTCTCTTTCCTTTCTGTTATTTTTGTTCCAACTTTTATCACATAATTTACATGTTTTTTCCTCACATAGGATAATTTATCGGAAATCAGCATAACGCTAATTACTAAAAATAGAAACGTTTATTTGATATAATTAAATCTGGCTTTTGAAATATTTTCTCTATAGAGTTGCAAATTGCTTATATTATGCGATTTCCATGAAAGCATATTATTGTAAAAAGCATATTTGTGCTATCTATCTTTACATTATCTTTACATTATACAAAACAATTCGATGCAAAAAGCTAGCCGGGTATAGGTAGTAATAATTTCTAATGAGAATCAGGATGTCAAATTATTACATCCGTCGTATTTATGATTTTCAATATCCTGCAATCGGTAATTATAAATTGCTCCTGTTTTATATGCTGCATAAAGTTGTACGAGAGAGTTATATGAGTATCACTATCGCGGTAGTTGAGTACGTAATGAGTAACATGATAATTGCAAGTTCACTGAGAGAAAAATATACTAATTGTAAATATTAACAAATATTTGTTTGAATAAGTAGAGGAATATTTATTAAATGAGAACATATATTTATTTGACAAGAAATCATTAATTTGATTTAACTACAATTTTTTTTTATTTAATAAATATTTATTCACTATAAGTAAATATTAAGTTAGTAGTATTTAAAAAAATATTTATTAATATTTAGTAGTACATTTTTCTAGTGTAGCAATTAATAAGATAATTCTATTATATCGTTCAGAATACAGCAATATTCGAAGTAAAATATTGATGTTTTTAAGTAATATTTAACAAAGCACACAATATCTTTTTTGTAAGAAATTATTTTATCGGTAATACATATAAATCTGTTTAATTTAGAATATTTAGGAGAAAATTTTCAATAAACATTCCATCGTAATTAAACTCTCTGTAAATTCACATTCGTGAAATTCACGTAAAATTCATTTGCTTGACGAGATCAAACAACTCGGTGAAATAGACTTGCCACAAACTTAAAATAATCTTAATTGGGAGCAAGTAAGCGTGCCACTGAAATATACGCGAAATATAAATATAAAATTTTTATGTTAGCAATTTAGAAAGAAGTTAGCAATTTAGAAAGAAGGGAAAAAGAAGAAAAGAAAGAGAGAGAGAGAGAGAAAAAGAGAGAGAGAGAGAAATTTGCAGTGTAAGACCAGAATATTACCCTTGCTAGAGAGAAATATTTAACGAGACTCACGATTTCTCCTGAGTTATTTAATTGTCGCATACACTGAGCAAACGAAAGGTACCATAATTTTCGTGCAATGCTAAATATTCGCAGGATTGCAGATGAGACATGGGCGTCAAAAGGGGAGTTGAAATTATTTACGCGCCATTGTGAATTATTATAATGGACCGCGACAGAGAGGGAATAAAATTTCAATTTACTTTCCATTTATTTTCGTTCTTCCATGTTTAGTTTCTGCGAATATTATGATTTATCGATTTATTTATTTGTCAAAGTTTCTTTAGTTGCATTAAAGTTTATTTTATAAAATAAAATCATTTTCAAGTGACATAGCTCGTGTATTACGTACAACATAAAATTAATTTTATATCACTATGCAGTATACGTGTTATTAATTTTATCTGTATCTAATTTTATCAAGAAATTCAAAATTACAATAGCTATTTGAAATGCAAAATATTAAAATATGCAAAATATTAAAATTAAAAATTAGTTTCTATTGGTCAAATGTCGACAGCATCTTCAAAAAATAAGAATACAATTTTGATACGATATATTGAAAAAGTGATATTGGCAAAATTATAGACATGTTAATAATGATTATTTAGTTTTAAACAAGAAACAGTATGCTTCTTTAAATATTATTTAATAAATAATTATTTAATAGATACTTATGTTTTTTGAATATTTTAATTAATTTCTGTGTGATTAATTAAAAAATTAGATTATAATATAAAACGTGTATTAGTTTTAATTGTTATTTTTTGAAGTTCTATTGTTTATCTGCAGTGATATGAATTTATCAGAAAAGTCGTTGCTATTTTATATTAATTCATTTAACATTCGTACAGTACTGTATTTTTATATACAAATATTTGATTTAGCTTGAAAGCTTTGCGGATGGCATTTTATATAATAATATTAGAGTAAAATATTATATTTGAGCAAACATATTTTCAATGTAAAGATTTATGTACGTATTTAAATGTATATTTATAGTTTTCAGACTTAACCATAATTACAATATTATGTTAGTTGTAATAAAAAATATTTTCTTGATTTTTAACAAATTTTAACAAAAAATAAAAAAAAAGTATATATACAACAAAAATTATATATATCTTTCTTTCTATGTATTGTGTATATGTATACATATTGTAGATAATCTAAAAAGCAAAATCGAATAATAATGAATAGAAATAAGATATTCGAAAAATTATTTAGTATTTATATAGATAGTACATACCATACTAAGTAAAAAAGCTTTAGTGAATACCATAGGTCGAAAATTCAACTGCTTCTAAGATATATCTAAATAATTTAATATGTTAGTATCTCTCTAAATCTGAATCAGTGGATAGTTACTAATTATCCATTGGCATACTTGGCACTGATAATCAGTGAAGTTCAACTAAAAAAGGAAGAATATATTTTGAGCATTATATAATTAAAATACTAACTTTCCACATTAATTTCAATTTTTCAATACCATATTCATTGAATTTAAGCACTAAAATACGATTAGTTAGATCACATAATAAAGATTAGTTAAATTAGGAATCTCACATTTAATTCACTGATTAGCAGTGGCACTGATATTCAGTGATTATCCACTGATTCAGATTTAGAGAGATTATAATTGATTTATTGGCTTCTACGTGTCGTATGCAACGAGAAGATTTACCATAATGTTTACAAATCGCGTTTTAAATATTCTGATTCAATTTCTACATACATTTTATAATGAAAAATTTTACCGGGAGTCAGTAAATTGACATCAACCAGCCATTACGATTAGATGAGCATTATGAAGGATCATCTTATTGGGCCGTAATTCTCTCAAATAGGCTGTCAATGCTATTTATTTCAATTTTTTCTTTTTTCACGTCGTATATAACACATAGAAGAGATAAGAAGTTAGTTATGATACTAACATACACACTGAGAAAAATGATTTTGTTATAGGAACAAATCAAAGAAAAGCAAATGTAATATTTGTTAAAAAATCGATCGATTTGTTACGATTGCAAATTAATTCGTCAATGTAAAATAATCAATAATATTGCTAGCAAATAAGAGGCTCATATATATATAAATCGTAGACGATTGCAGGATTTCAAATCATAAGAAATTAATCAATTCTAATGAAGTATTCTCTTTACATTTGACTGTGCTTAGTCGATTTCTTACGACTTAAGATTCCACGATCATCTACGAATTCTATGTAAACGAGCTAAAATCTATCCTAAAGTCTATCCAAAAGATAAGTTAGATTCTATATAGCTATTTGCTTCTGTTACTAATAATTGGTTGGATATAGCAGACTAGCAACAAACACAAAACAAAATTTATTGTCACATTTACCAGTTACCGATTAAAGGTACTGATTGGTTGCTAAATTAACAAAATCCTTTCTCTCAGTGCAAAATTGTTTATATCTCAGAAATGATTGAGTTTCCACCCCACCACTAAAACTTTTTTATTCAGTATGGTGTCTATTATTAAAATGTTAAATGGCTTTTTTTAAACTCTGTATAAAAGATAGTACGACACTTGTAGAAAAAGTATCATGCTGATAATTTATTACAATTCTATAAACATTTCTCATTAATTCTGGTAGAAATTTATATTTTATAATTATTTTTAAACAGAGTTCTGCAAAATTTTCCAATTTTGATTTTTAAACACAAAAAATGCAGAACTCTTTCTTTATTGTTATAAGAAATTGAAAATATAGTATTATCCATTAAATTATCCATAAAAATATTAATTTCGTGAATCTAGCATATTACTTCCTCCCTTTAAAATACAAGAAAAAGATAAATATTTCCACTTTTAGTTACAGATTTTTTTTTAACACCCTATATATAGCTTTGCGCATTCTTTAAAAAATATATTATACTATAAATCTAAAACCAGATATATTATAATTAAATATTTACCTTTACACCATAGTTACTCTCCTCGTAAATGATGGAAACATAGCTCCAACCCATCGACAATACAATATCGACCATCGCTTTGACTTGATAGTGATCGCTAGGTATAGTACGGCTGAAATACTCGAAACGTTGCTTATTGGAAAGCTCTGGGCTCGTCGAGAAAAAAGAGACCTGTAACATAATAGCCGATTTTCCATCTTAAATTATTTTCAAATATGAGGGAGTTGTGATAAATTTTATAACATTGTATATTCTTGACAATTGTACCACATTGATTTTGTAACAAGGGGATAAAAGTATTTAAGTAGTGTGTTTGTATAAAATACTTTTATTTGTTTAAAATGCAGTAAAATGCATAATGTAGATAAATTACGTTGTTTACGTTTACTTAACTCCATCATCATTTCTTTGCTCTGTCTCTTGAGATTAAATTTATATCCGAGAGTTGTTTTGCCTAAATCCTTAGATCTTTAAAATCGCAGATAAATAGTTTTTTATATTAAATCAACAAAAAGCAAATGAATTTAACTATTTTTTAAATAACTTTTAAATAACATCCTCCCGCTTTTTTATTTAAACTTTAAATTGAAATGTGTTTTGTACATTTGCGTTCATATTATTTAAATAAAAAACATTTAAGTAAGCTTGTACATAATTATTAAAATAATGTAGAAGGCAAAAGTATTCTCAATCTTTTATATAATAAATAAGTAAGAATTACAAACTTTACAGATATAAAAATATGAAGGTTTTAAAGTTTTCACAAAAAGAAAATTTCAAAAGTTTTTTTTTTGTGAATTATTATAGATTTTTGTGACATCAAAAGATGCTATGTCAATATATCGAAGTATCTATCATATTCATAGTGATATTACACAATAACCATAAAAAACTCAATGTAACTTCTATCATTCATGTTCTATCATTCATGTAGATTCCTATATTTGAAATGTCTGAACTGTTAAAAAGTTTCTTTCCTTTTTTATTTGTTTCTAATCTTAAAAGTAAAAAATGATATTGAATTTTTCATTACATTACGTACGCTATTGTAGAATACGGATATTTGCGTTAGTACTGGATAATTCTGTTCGTGATTGCAGGTGAGTAGTTGCGTTTAACTAAAAGCGAAGTAAACTTAGATCCTGAAAATAGTTGTCGTTTTCGCTAGCCTCGAATTTTCTGGTTCTACTGCCAGACCGAGAGAGCGAAAACATGTAATGTTTAGAGAGTCACATGTAAACTTGTATTTTTTTGAGAAAGAAAAGTAAAGTTCATCATTTTAAAGTTCATCAATTATTCGTATCGTTTGATGTTCTTTAAAGTATATTATGCTATCAGAGCGGGGATTAAGATTTTAGCGCTACGCAGTGATACAGATTCATTAAAAATATCTCAGTAACCTAAATATTGAAATGCTGAGGAAAATATAGCAAAACTCGAGAGATATGAGTAATCAAAGAGTTATTACGAAACTTTAAAGATTCAAGAATTTAATAACGTAAAGATGTAAAGATTAAAGGTCACAAACTCTATATACAAATAAAAGATTTCGGAAATCAAAGTTTCATGGAATCACATATTTAAAGAACAAAGTTTAAGGAGTCCACAAAAAATATAGATTTTAATAAATGTGTGTGTGATAAAATCAAATACTTAACAATTTGACAATCTAATATACATATATAACGATTTATTCGCGAGCATGAATATAATATAACTTCCAGAGACAGAATATTCAGAAAATGATGACAGTTCTACATAAATGATCGTTTATCTAAGTCATGTGTTTCATTATAACTTCATAATAAGTTTCATCATCAGTTTGTCGTTTATCTATAGACCAAGTTCTCCCTCTTTTCGTACAATGTTCTTTGTTCACCATTTATGACACTTATCGAAGAATAGGCGATTTTGAGTTAGCCGCATGTGGCAACGCGGATAATTAATCATCTTTTCGAGGAAAGCGGACGTAAGGCGACGCCTTCGCAAAATCGACTTGCCGGTTGATTATACAACTCATGTTACGCCTTCGAGAACTTTGACGAAGATATATTTCACTATTGTTCTTATAATTATTAACGTGGCTTTTCGGATTGTTATGCAAGAATTTCTGCACTGCGAGTTTTTATATTTCGTTAAGAGACAAATATCGATTGATCCGAAACAGGATAAGATCTTGCTACAATGTTGTTAAAATGTTCCAAAATGTTTCTTGCTTACTGGGATTTTTTATTGTAACATTTATTGTAATTTTGTTGTTATTTCTAAGCTATTTTGTAATTATTGTAAATTTTTACGTTTTATATTTGTGATATTCGCGGTTTAGTTCGGTTGCTCTCGATGATGGTTCGATTTGTCTTAGCAAGTAACGAGATTTCAAATGTTCGATCTGTACAAGCAACGTTGATGCGTAAACATCAGATGAGTTTATGTAGTGAGAAACGAGGCGGCGTTATCTCACACCACGAAGGTACCAGAGCTACTTTTCTCCGCAACAATGCGCGTCCTATCATATATCGTGGGTCTTGCACAATATGGGGAATATATTTATCATGGTTTGTCAGATTTAGAGTGGCTACTATATATCCACTATAGTAACTTGCTCGTCCAACCATGCATCGAAGAATCATACAAAACTTCAACTCGGTCCACTTGATTGGTTTGCTTTATTGATTATGCAGTGTCTGTATTTTTCTTTACTTTCAACACTAAAATGAACATATTGATAAAATAAACGTATATATAAAATACAGGTGGATAGAAAGCGCAGATTTCGGTATTAATTATTCGCGCGAGGTTTTCGTGATTTTTCTCTTCTTTTTGTTTTTTTACTAACGGCGCTAAAAGTCTATGGAAAAATCAATAATATTTGATGAGGAAATATGGCAGAAATATTTATTTCTTTTTTTGCTATAAATGTAAGGAAAGAAATAGTAAATAATTTGATACATGATTATATAAAAACAAATTATTTAACAAAATGGATTATATATATAAAATCAAGTTTAATAATTATGTTTATATTGTATACATATATATGTACAGGGTACTTCCGATACCTACAGATCAGTAAGTCGAGTTGCCTATCTGCCTATGGGCAGCGGCACGCTTTACTGATAATGCGGAATAAGATTAGATCGCAAGTCCAGCGAGAAATGAGACAAAAGAAATTGAATTTTACATTCTGGTATAGTGTAAAATTCAATAATATGATATAAAATATGTATATAATATCTGACTTAATGTAATATAAATGAAATTTATTGTAATTATTGTAAATTTTTACGTTTTATATTTGTGATATTCGCGGTTTAGTTCGGTTGCTCTCGATGATGGTTCGATTTGTCTTAGCAAGTAACGAGATTTCAAATGTTCGATCTGTACAAGCAACGTTGATGCGTAAACATCAGATGAGTTTATGTAGTGAGAAACGAGGCGGCGTTATCTCACACCACGAAGGTACCAGAGCTACTTTTCTCCGCAACAATGCGCGTCCTATCATATATCGTGGGTCTTGCACAATATGGGGAATATATTTATCATGGTTTGTCAGATTTAGAGTGGCTACTATATATCCACTATAGTAACTTGCTCGTCCAACCATGCATCGAAGAATCATACAAAACTTCAACTCGGTCCACTTGATTGGTTTGCTTTATTGATTATGCAGTGTCTGTATTTTTCTTTACTTTCAACACTAAAATGAACATATTGATAAAATAAACGTATATATAAAATACAGGTGGATAGAAAGCGCAGATTTCGGTATTAATTATTCGCGCGAGGTTTTCGTGATTTTTCTCTTCTTTTTGTTTTTTTACTAACGGCGCTAAAAGTCTATGGAAAAATCAATAATATTTGATGAGGAAATATGGCAGAAATATTTATTTCTTTTTTTGCTATAAATGTAAGGAAAGAAATAGTAAATAATTTGATACATGATTATATAAAAACAAATTATTTAACAAAATGGATTATATATATAAAATCAAGTTTAATAATTATGTTTATATTGTATACATATATATGTACAGGGTACTTCCGATACCTACAGATCAGTAAGTCGAGTTGCCTATCTGCCTATGGGCAGCGGCACGCTTTACTGATAATGCGGAATAAGATTAGATCGCAAGTCCAGCGAGAAATGAGACAAAAGAAATTGAATTTTACATTCTGGTATAGTGTAAAATTCAATAATATGATATAAAATATGTATATAATATCTGACTTAATGTAATATAAATGAAATTTAATAAATATTTAAAAATATATAATTATAAATTATAATTACATATTTTTTAATATTTATTAAATTACATTTATGTTAGATTAAGTCAGATATTATTTATATTAAATACATATTTTATATTATATTATTGAATTTTACACTATAATAGAATGTAACATTCAATTTCTTTTGTCTTCCTCGCCGGACTCTCTCTTGCGATCTAATTTTATTCCGCATTATCAATAAAGCATGCTCCTGCCTATAGGCAGATAAGCAACCCGATTTACTGATCGGTAGGTATCGGAATCACCCTATACGTGATTAAATTTAAAAAATTGATACAGATACGCATATATATTTAAAAAAAAACAGTTGATTATATTTAACCAAAAAGTTATCATTGATACAGAAGATTTTATTTTCTACACAATTTTATACCGGAAAATTCGTATTTAGCGAGGATTGAATAACTTAGCACACGTGTTACCTGTTTTACTGTTATTCACGTGTTAATTGGAGATTATATGATACGAATTCTATGCCCGGATGTTTGCATTCTTTACTATGGCTGGACTCATACCAATATAGCTAGCCCTTTTGTAGGATCTAGAAAACGACGTTATCGTTAATTGAAATGAACCGGCTGCGCCCAAACCGCGCGAAATTGCAAACACAATTCGCTGTGCCGATAAAATAGAGTAAAAGAATACATTTCTCCCGAATTATTCGGTAAATTCGCTAATTTTTTTAGTGCGATTTAGTTTTAGGGATTTGTTTGCTCATATCATATATCAGTTGCATTGTTATGATAACTAAAAAATAATTGTTTTATGTTGCTATTTTCTTTGTTTAATTATTAACATAAGCACATGACTTTTAATTTGATTATTTATTTCTATCTTCTAATAAATTGCATTGGAATTAAACATGTCTGAAAATCTAG